AGAGAGAGAGGGGGAGAGAGAGAGAGAGAGAGAAAGAGAAAGAATGAAAGAGAGAGAAAGAGAAAGAATGAGAGAAAAAGAAAGAGAGAGAGGAATCACGAAGTGGAAGAAGCGATGTGTAAAAACAAAATGGAGAACTCGGTGTCACAGACGAGCCGCATAACGATGGAGTCTGAACCAAACTTTCAATCGGAACGGTGACTCTTCGAATCGTTCGGAAATAAATAAATAAATAAATAAACATGGAAAGTGAAACGAGAGTATCGAAGTGAAATAAAGAAATGATCACAGTAATCGGGAAAAATAATCTGATGATCCAGTTGTTTTGCGATCACTCGAATTTTCCTGTTCACTTTACGAATGGGATACTCGAACTCGATTCTCCTCGTTTCAATTTCAATCGAAGCTTGCTATTCAAACTTCGATGATTAATGGGACAGAGAATATGCGAAATATCACGCATCGATATTAATTGGCCAAACTTTCACGTCGCGTTTGTCGTATCGTTTCTTCCTCCGTGTCTCGAGCGAGTAAGCTGGACCGGTGATCCTTTTGTCGCAGGAACGCGCGCGCACTTTCGAGAATTCCAGCTACTTTCGGGGAAAAAATTCTACGCAGATACAGTAACGTGTAAGTAAGCAAACAACGGGACATTCACACCGTAAAATTATATGGCGAGCACTGACAAATGAGAGAAACATGGCGGACGAGATCGGACTCCGAGCGTCGTTACACTTCCGCCTCGTCGTTGCTCCGAGTTCGTTGATGACCGATGTTAACGCGTCGCGCGCGATTTCTTATCTTGCTGTATTTATGAGGATACTCTTTGGATCGTTCATTATGTCTCGTAACAACAATAATTTATCTTAAGTAATCCGGTATCATTGTGTGTGGTATACACACTTTAACTTTCATGTGATGGACGATTAATACGCTATGCATACTTATGCGAATTTCTTACGGAAATATAATATATTCATATCATTTCAAACGTATCCTGGCCTTTCATTTTTTTCACACCTTGTGCCAAACTGGCCATTCTACTGAACTCGCGGCTTTAACCCTTATACTGATGTCGAATAATGATGTATCGTTATTGGTGATACTTATGTGGTTTGCCAACTTCGGAAAGGAATATGTTACAAAATAAAGGGAGAATAAATAAATGCCAAATATATTTCAATTTTTCAATTTTTCAATTTTACAGTATTTCAATATTTCATAATTAGTATTATTAATAACATCGATATATTGTTCGACACTATAAGGATTAACTTTTATGTTGGCAACCAAGTAACCGGGTAAATACTCACTTTGAAACCTTCTATGTAATTTTGTTCTATCCTAAAGCAAAATTTGACAAAATTGCTTCGGATCTCCACTTCTGAAACATTTTTACGCGGACCGCTGCTTTGAAAATGAAGAGTTTACGTAAAAATATCGTAATACCATAATTTGGATAAATATTGGCATTTTTGTTGCTAACATGATGGTTAACCCATTTGCGTCCGAGCTCTAATTGCATGACTTCTCCCATATTTCTGGGATTAAAATACGTATGATCGATTACACATAGATATTTAATTTATCGAGTTAATTATAATTTATTTTGTTTTAAGTATTTACTATTTCAACTTTTTTTCAATAAAAGAGAAACGAAGAACAATATTGTGAGAAATGTGAACATTTCCATGCAAATTATAACATGCAACTTTTTATTTTGCGATGTGAAATGATTCTTAGTGCCAAATATATTAGAGAATAAGGGAAAATAGTGAAAAAATTTGTTCTCCGTTTTTCATATTTTTCATGATATATTTAAGAATTTTTGTCTCGAAATCATGAATAATACAAAATTTAACCAGAACTGCATCATAATAAATTTCAGGTTTTTATAATTAAATAGTGCTGCATTCGTTTTTCCTTCGTTTTTACACAAATAATGTAATTTGGTGGTATAATATAATAAATGTCGACAACAGATATGAAAGGAACATACATACAGACAATAGAATACAGAAATACGAGGACCAAAAATACAAGAGCGAGCTACGTATTATTTATTCTTATTATTTTGTATCTGCAATAACGCCAGTGATTTTTATTTAATTAACAATAATGTTATGTGTTCTTTTCCATGGTACAGAATAAGAATAATGACATGTCTCAGAGTTCCCAATTTTGTGATGTTTATGTTCAAGAAATATTATATGTTATACTATGAATTTATAATTATAAACTGCATACACAGTTTTTATATGAAAAATAAAACAAAATATTCTAATAAAATAAATAAATTGGAGATATGAGTGAACAGCTCGAAAGTTTGTATTTTCATTATATTTTCATTAAGTTTTATAGCTCATGCGACTTGATATAAGGGACGATAATAATAAATTTTTGATTGGATACGTAAAAGAGTCTGATTAGTAATCGTAAAACACAATTCATATGAATCATTCTTTAATTAGTAATTGATTTCATAATTTGCTGGTAATTGTTGAGCTCTCCTCTCGTTAAATAATTCTTTTAAGAAACTTGAAACCGTCAGAAAATATTTCGAACGTTAGACTACAATTGCAAAAATATTGATTACATGGTGTTACTTAATTACTGACATTCATTGGCAAAATAAGATATTATCGTGACTACCATAACGGTTGATTCAGTAAATTAAGCAGTTTCGAAGTTTTGTAATTCATTCTTGCAGCATTGAACACATCGTTAAGAGAATACTAACAAGAATTTCTTGCTTTCTTTTTTCTTTTATTACCTCAATCTCTGAGAACTGGATATGAACTATTAATCATACCAACGTATTGAAAGATAATTAATAAAGACGGATATGTCGGATTATAATTTATTTTTCTTACTTAAGGTGTCGTTAGATAAGAAATTAAGGAATAAATAAATTATTAAATTTGCCATTCTAAAAATAATCACGTAACAAAATATAATTCTGCAACTAAACAAACTTCTGGAACACAACCCTTTCTTTTATCATTCTTACAATTAGACCTGTCGTAACTGTTTATTTAATACAGTAATAAATGTTTATACATATACACATATATACATATATATAATATAATATAATATAATATAATATTAATCAATAAATATTTAATATAATAAAAATGTACATATTATATATTAAAATGTCATCTTGTTTTTTTATATTGCACACTATATATATTTTATTTGTATACGATGAACTATATATGAAACTAGGGGAAGCGTTCAGCTAAACAGCCATTGTCATGGCTCTGTGACAGCTCGCCCACGGCATTCTGTACCAGTTCCTGTGGTCGGCGTCCGACCATTTGCCAACTATTTCTACTCCCCTGTTGCAGCGTGAATTCTTGACGCGCTCGGCGAACGGAAAAATGCATCTCGCGTATCTCTCGACACGGGCCGTGGAGGTAACGAGATCTTTCGTTTTTTCTTCTAGCGAGGAGCAAGCCACATTTCACGAACGGTATTACGATAACGCACGACCTGCGTGTGTGTTCGATCCTACGAAAAGGAACGAATGTTAAAACACTGCTGACCGTGCATTTTTTGTAAGCACCAAGTAAACTATGCATATATAACTAGATTACTATTACTTAAATTATATAACTAGTTATACAACAATATATATATATAATACTACTATATTAATATTAATATATACCGATTTCTATAAACAGCTTATAGTAATATTCTACATCGAATGCGCCACTTATCGTCGATTGTGCATTATTTCTTTAATGATTAAGTGCCAAATACTTCTTCATCGATTTTACTATGGCAACAACAATTATAGATAATTAGGGTATCATTACGTAAAAGAGAAATATAAAATTTTATTAAAATATTGTCAGCCTCACGACTAAGGAAAGCATTTGGTGTCCAAACTCCTACTTTATACAAGCTATCTTATCTATTTATACATTTAAACTTCTTTATCCTTATCTCATTAGTGTACAAATATTGCGTATACATTGGATAGTTCTCTTTAGAAAATCTTAAACGTGATCTAATTTAAGTTACCTTTACTTGTTCAATTTATGGCAGTACGAAGATTGAGGAATCTGTTAATAGGCTTCCGTTAGATACAGCGTTAATACAGTGAAATGTAAATTCTGCGTAACGTGAAATGCTAGCTTTCCCACTAGCCATAAATTGATCGTTCAAGTTGTTAATTACATGTTTAACAGTTTTTTCGTGTTCGCGTTACGTCGCGGTAAAAGTGCATGCTAACCAAATAGCACGTATTTAGATAAACAAAATATTAACTTGAATTCAGAAATCAACGTTTCTTTCTCTTTGGATAATAAAATAGAAGTCAAATGGAACCTCAATAAATAATACACTTTTTTAATTTCTACAAAAGAAATCGAAACTGATCCATTGAACTGTTCGATTGCTCTAGTGTTAACACTAGAACCACCAGACAGGTCAAAATTATACATTCCCCGTTTCTTTTTTAGCGATTATTGAAAAGGGAATCAGTGCTTTCCTGGGA